TGATGGTGAAGAATTTATTAATTCTGCTGAAACATGGAAGGTGTTGGTAGATGAATGGATTAACATGACTAATGATGGTGAAATAGAACAAATTGCTTCGTTAGATGATTCACATCCAGCAGAAAATAAAAAGGCCAAGTGGGCTTTGGCAGATTTATCAATAGATCAATGGACCACCAATGGACCAATGGATCGGTCATTTTATGGTCTATTAGTGTAACAATATGACCATATTAGGAAAATTTTAATAGACCATCAGTCTATTGATGGTCTATTGCGTCACACCCCCTGAATAACCAATAAAATAAATGGACCAGAAATTAATGGATCATCAATAGATCCAATGGACCTGGTCCAAAATCTATTGATCACAATGGACCCAGTCATTTGCCAACCCTGGCCAATAATAATTAAAATAAATTAATTTTCATTTTTATGCACGCGTATATAATATTTTTTTTTGAAAAAATTGCGTGTAACATATTAACTAAAAAATAATTTGAATGAATTAGGAGGCGTGAATGAAAATCTCGATGGCGTGAACTTGTTCAAGTTAGTGATCATTTCAAATATCCCCCCCCCCCTACACACAATTTTTTTTTTCTAACAGAGAAAAAATAAATTTCTATTATTATTTTTTTTGTCACTTATCAAAAAGAAATGTAGAATATGTAAAGATTTAATATTAAGTACAGAATTGAATGTATTTTCGAATTAAACATATATTATATTATATATATATTGTATTTTATTTTTTTTTTCAAATTTTCAATTTGGTTGTAGATTGTACAGTACAAAATGCGTTAACTTATCAAGTTCACGTTTCACAGACAACAGAATGACTCATGCCCATCTTAAATTTCATTGGGCGAATTCAAATTTTAAATTTTTATTTAATAAACAATAAATACCATAAATACGGTTTTTTTTTTACACAATCATCAAGGAGGGGAAAACATGCAACCATAATCATTGGTGCCGTAAACGTAAGGAGTGGTGCACTGTTTGGGAGATCTTCGACTGAAAGGTCGTCACCTTCGTAGACATTCGTGGTTTGGATCAGGGTGACCTTAATATTGACACAATAGATATATTCTTTACTGGGGAAAAAAAAAATACACATATATAAATGCACACATTTCTCATACATACATATTCTTCGTCATCTTCATAAACGTATCTTCTGACAAATAGGACGATAGAATTTTTTTGGAAATTCGAAATGAGTTGATTACTGGTGGGGAATCCTTTCAAGCTCTTTCTAAGTCTGAACAAGACATATTTTTAATGGCCCAACTTAAGGCAATGGATGGTGGATCAATAAGCACTAGTAGGCGCCTTAAAAAGAAAACCAGATCTAATAAAAAAACTTTCTACCATTGGGCAGTTCTCCATTTTTAATCCTAGTGGCAGCGTAACTTCAGATACATAACAATTCAACAAACACTCAGTGAGAAAATTACTCACCTCACTTTATTATTATTATTAAAATTTTTCCTGTTGATCCTGTCGATCATTATCTCGTTTCAACGGATTTAGGTGACTGTATATCAATACAAGTAAAAAAAGTACCTCTGGTTAGTTATTAACACGTATTCTTTAAGAGAACCAAACCAAACAAACAACAACACTCACATTTTGTTTGTCCAAAAAATAAATTGTTTTGTTTTTCCAAAAAAAAAAAAACCAATTCGCATCTGTCCTACCAAAAAAACCCCCCAATAGGATAAATAATTAATGTGTACGCGTCGATCAAATAAAAAACTTTTGGTTTTTTTTTTCTCTAATATATTGGTTAAATGTATTAATGAAACTAGAGTAACGACGAGTGGCGGGCGATAACTACCACCATCCTTAAAACACTTACTCATATGTATCTTTAGTCTCTTTTCCTTTTCTTTTTCTTCAGCAACAGCAGACATTTTTTTTTATTTTTAAAAATCAGTCAAAATGACCTAGAAAAATTTGATAAAGCCAGGGAACTTAAGAAACATCTAGAAAAAATTCGCCATGATTACATAAAGGATTTAAAAGATAAACTCAAGTCAGTTCGTCAACGTACTACTGCCATCAAGGTTGGGTGCCGAAAATAAACGCGACGAAATAGGGTTTTTACACTTTGAGTAATTTGACGAAAGTGACGAAAGTGACGAAATCAACAAAACAATATTACTTTGGAGATTTTAAATTATGGAGTTAATAAAATTCATGATGTCAAATTCTAATTCACCCAATTCACCAATTCCTTCTCAATCATCATCATATAATATGAATT